ACGGCGATTTTTGGAGATAGCACCGCGTTGTGGAGGAATACCACGGGCGCGACGCGTAACCGTCTTTCTGGGCACATCGTATAGTTTCTCAACGCCTCGGAAGGATGTAATTTGGCCGGTCTTGTAGGCTTGAACGCCTAGAATAACTCTGCCTTCTTGAAAGATGGCTTCTTGTTGTTGTGGTGCTGCCATTGGGGTGGTTGTTGGACGACGCGTCGCGTGTTGAGTTGGGTGGGCCACTAGCTTGTGCGGGCCACTAACTTGTGGATTACGTTATATATACTGCGCATGTAAGATAGATAGTTCCTCACTCAATACATTACCTAACCCGTTCAACGTATTGTTTCACAACCATCCTCATATAGCCACGCCCCAAGAACAGAACTACATGCACGCACGCACATTGCATAACCACAGGCACGCCCGCAACAGGGCAACCCCCCCAATTTCCTATTGTCCTTCAATTCAATACCTTGGCTTTTGAGAAAAAGGGCACGCGCGTACGGCAAGGGCACGCGCGCCCTAACGCGGACCCCGGACCTTACTAACCTTCTGGACACCGTACAACCCTGGAACCTAGGGCCTACGGACACCGGATCGATCCTGGAGAATGCATTAAGATGGCTTACTCCGTGGCGATGCTCACAGAGCTGCCACGCGTCCCCCACAGCCGCGCAGAAACAAAAGGAACGCAAGGCGTTATACACTGTAGAAAACAAGGTTTTCACCCGACCGCTATAGAGCGAACGGTTTCCCCTTGTAAATAAAACCTAGATAGCACTGCCGCATGGACCCTAACGGGAGCTAAATCGGCCTAATAGAACCTAATAATAATAATAATAATAATAGTTAGCTTTTTTAATATTTTATTTAGCCTAAAATCTATTAAATATATAATATAATCTAAGAAATACTTTATATCTACTATTTCTTACGGATTAGAACCTTTATACTTCTTCTTATAGCTATAGTATATTAGTGCTAATTTATCTATTTAATATTAGTAATATATATTTCCTAAACTTCTAATATTTTATTATATTACGGTTAACTGCTTTTAGCAAGATTATTATAGACCGGCTTACTGCTAATCCCTAATTTATCCTAAGAAAACCTATTTTATATAGCCGCTTTAAATTAACTTTTTAGGTCTTTTTTCTTTACTCCTTATTTTTAGTACTAGGTATTTATAATATATAGGATTCCGACTATATAGAATAAGAAAAAGGTAAGAATTAATAATAAAGTAAAAAAAGGTCGGCTATTTAAGCAGAATAGTATACTCTGCATTAATAAGGATAAGGGCGGGGAATACTTCCTAGAAAGTAGCTTAAGCTTATAAAGTATATAAAACAGTATAGGGCTCTAATTTATAACCCGGGGATAGATTTAAGGCCCTTTGCTAAAACTTAACAGTTTCTAGTAAGGTCTATCTAAGACTATGCCGCAGCCGGTGGGGAAGGGTAAGCAAGGGTGAGCAAGGGTGAGCAAGGGTGAGCAGACCTGAGGAGAACTAAGCCGAAGCTGAGCCGGGCCTGAGGGGAGCTGAGCCGAAGCTGAGCCGCCTGAGCCGAACTCAGCCACAGCGGCGCTGGGTCACGTGCGCATAGGGGTCGGGTAGGGTGCACATTGGGGTGTTGAAACACGCAGGCCGGGATTGACGGGATTCGGGCACGTCCCGAAGACGGCGGAGTCCCCCTCGCGGGTGATGCGATCAATGGCATCGCATAACTCTTCTTTGACATAATCATCGTACCCCTCAATACTTTCTCCATCTGACTCTTCTGCCGAAGAATACGACATTGGTGACCCAAGGAATCGCCCAGCTGTACGCGTAGAAACGTCGAGGTTCCTAGGTGGTCGATCATGCGTGGGGGGGAGCGCGTCGAAGTGACCTATGGGAGCAGTATGGCTTCTAGTTTGTTACCAAACTATTTGAGTTTGCGCTGAGTCTAGAGATCCTCGGGGGTAGGATGTTGAGAGAAAAGTCAGCTCAGGTAGTGAGTGTTGAAGCTTCCAACTTCCCCTCTCCGCACTTGAACGCGACTAGGACGCGCTATCATGCGCCATGATTCGCATGATAAACAAGCCACATCAAATTTCGTCCCCCCAGAAGGAAGGGCTTTACTTCGGTTGGTAAGAAAATGCGTCTCGGGTATATGGTCGCTTGTCATGGATTCAAATGCTGTTGCGACGTCGATGGTGCATAATTATCTGTGTGTATCCAAAAAGAGCCTAGCGTAGAAATGTTGCCTCAATCATATTTTCTCTATAGTCCATCCATTACCGTCACTACAATCCCTTCCATACCAGTCTGCCGATTTTACTTCCAAGAAAAAGATTATACAAGTGTCCAGGATACCAAGATTGTTCTTGAAACGCACTAGACTTCAGGACATGATTTCCACTCCATTTCATGCTAATCTCCGGTCAGATCAACGATCATAACGTCTGCCGTTCTCTTCTGGCCAGCTCTCACATTTCCGTTATTCGGGTAGGTGCCAGGTGGATTGGGCCGAGCAGACATCGGAGCTGGGGGATTAGACGGATTTGGTGCCTAAGATGCAGCCGGCCATGAAAGTACAGGGGGAGGAAGTACGCGACCAGCCAAGCGGTTATTTGCCGTGGTTAAGGTTGTTGGGAGCCTAGTATCCCCAGCCAAGGGTCTCACAGAAGGGAAAGTAGGCATCCTTGAATTCGTGGCCATTGTTGGTTTAGCAGCACCAGAGTTCTGTTCGCGCTCCGAAGCTGCGAAGGAAGGCGCCGGCATTAAGGGCACTCCAAGGTCATATAGTTCATGGAATCGCTCACCCAGCACTTCTAACATTTCGGTCCCTGGCAGTTGTGCAATGGTTCTCTGAGCGGACTCGCGGTCTTTCCTCCAAGTGTCATGGCGGGCTCTCCAACGGCCCTCTTTCTTCTCAACGATCAAAGTGTAAGGAGTTACCCACTTCTCAACTCTTGAATCGAAACCTGCCACCAGGCGTTTCTGTAAATGCGTCCGGATTGCGGTAAGACACTAGAACGCTTGTACGCTCTTCTGGGCGTTGGCCACGAAGTCATCTAGTTTGCGGCAGTCTTGGCATCCACAGTTGTAACCGAGCCTCATGTCTAGGTCAGGGGTGCGCAGAGGCTCCGAGGTAGTCTTCTGGCGTATGTAAGATGCCAGAAGGTTTCGAGTCATACCGGTGAAGGCTGGTGCTATGTCTCCTTCCCGGAAAGCCCTGCTTTGGACTGGCGGCTTGAGGGAAGGAATGTCACGAGTTTCGAACACCAGGACGGGGACCAAAGAGGCCTCATTGCGAATCTTGACGAGCATTTGAATCGTTTCCCTAGTGAGCCCCGATGTAGCATAACACTCCACATCCTTCGCGAGTTCCTCCCCATCTTTATTGGGTGGTAGGCAAGGAATACAAGACGAAGACTCGTGTGTTTTTTGTCGCTTATGTCGGGTGCCCTGGCTGTTCTCATGGAGCAAAGTGATAAAGCCGATGATAGAGGGAAATATAACCCGGAAAGTTTGCGTGGAAGCGTCTTGTGCGCATTGCTCCTGAGCCGCCGCTTGCTTTACGAGGTGACCGAAGGTAAGGAGAAGCATTGGATCGTTCGAATTTGGTAACTCGGAAATAATCTTTTCAACAAATCGGGTTACCAGATCCGATTCCAGATGTTCTGTGACTTTCGCTGTAAACAGAATCTGAAGGATCGGCATCACAAGCGTGTAATGCTCCATCTGAGGGTCGAAACGCGAGACTATTTGTTGACATATATCGTCGAACAAGCCACTACTCACCAAATTCTCAGTGGCCGAATCCCGGAGCTGAGATAAGAACTCCAGTAGCACCGTGCCATGTGAGAAAATGTTCTCCATCTGTGACAACTCGGTAAACCCATGTATAAAAGTCGCAAGGAAGTGGTTAGGTAGATCGCCGTGCTTTTCTGATCTGCGCAAAGACTGGAATAGGTCCCTCAGATTATCCTGGGTCCATGGTGGCCTCGTTGCTTCTAGTAGCAAGGCCTTGATGAATTCCGCTAGATGGACAGAAGATATATTCTGCCCCTCTCCTGCTGAAGCACACAATTGTATCAAACGTATAGCCGCAATCGGCGTTTGAGCACGTGCCTTGGCCGCAGGGAATATTTCTTGGAGTAGTTTGGCGGCAATGAGAGGGGGATCACGCTGTTTTCGATACATCGAGCTATGGCATCCAGATAGGACTCCACAAACTCGGATTTAACCTGTGCATCGACCATAATGCTGTTGATGCTGCGCAAGTCTGGTCAGCTAGTTCAGGTATTGTGTATACTTCGGTATTCGTACCTTTCAATCAAGAAATCCGGTCCTTGGTTTACAGTGTTGGTAAGTATAAGCTCGGCATCACTAGCTGCCAAAGTGCTTCCCCGAAATAAGACTGTTTGAATGTTATCTCTGTGCCATTTGGTTGTGTCGGGTAGATTCGGGCCACTAAGAAGTTGTAGACAGTTCTCATATATGGCCAATGATGCCTGGATCATCGTGCTAGCATGCTGTATACTGTCTACGGTCTTCTTGAGCCTAGTTATAAAGTGAGCCTCGCGTCAATGGGATTGTATCTGGATATTAGGGGCCGACACGGCCAAATGACGGAAACAGGACTACTCACGCTTTTAGATGTAGCTCAAAACCACATTGCAGCATGCTGGATTGAATGTTCGTAACGCATGGTTCGGAAATGGGGTGCCATAGGCATGCCGAAGCTCTCGCAAACGTGTCGCATTCACCCTCTTTCAAAGCAAAAGAAACGATGCTCTCGAGATCGCTATGTTGCAATCCAATGACACTGTCAATATTGGCGCGCCCCTTTGTAATAGCGTTGAAAGCCGGTTCCAGAAGAGCATCACATAAGGCGAACGCATCCGAGTGCCCAGCAACAATGGTGCGATTCAGCCATTCTCGTGTCTGACTGGAGCTAAGATTCCCCCGCTCAAGAATGAACGGGACATATGCACTCTCTCAGACCATGAGAGCCACCTGATAACAGTCAATAGGGTCATCTCAGAGATTTGTAAGATGGGCGATTTGTACCTTAGTGCGCCATACGTGCGTACACATATCCTCATCGTAGTTAGTCTCCTCGTCGACGTCTTTGTCATCAAAAGGCAAATTCTGTGCCAGCTCTTCCTCGTCCAAAATGTCCACGTCACGGCCAACTTCAGTTCCATCAAGCTCAACAACGCGAGTAAGCTTCAAGTTTTCATCCTTCTCCTCAATCATCTCGTGAACATCATCGTCGTCTTCACTATCTGGCTCCCAATACCGGCGGCCGCGATATCGCCCGTAGCCGTACTTGTAGCTGTCACACATTTCCCGCGGTTCGCACGTTCCAGTGACTTCCCTCTCCAGGTGTGCAAGTAGGAGTCTGTAGCCCGTTTCTTGACATATTGGTTTGAGACATCGCACGCGAACCGCGTCGAGTCCAGTCAAATTGTCCTGTCTGAGCTCCGCGGCCTTGATGGCTTGGCCAGAGTCTAAAACATACGCTAGATATGCTTTGTTGTCGTCAGCTCCAGCATCAACGTATCTTCGCCACTGATTCATAACCGTGAGGACTCGTCGTTCTGTGCCAAGGCTAAACGCAGTCTGAAAGGGCTGTACATTTTGGTAGACGGAATATACCAGGAATACGCGACGACCAGATGTCACAGGCTCGATCTGGAGAAAATATCAGTGAGGCGTACTGCTCGATTGTATTGCGCCAATATACCTGGACATCAACGTCGGAATAACTGGAAGACGTCAGATGAAATTCCATGGAGAATCAACGTTTCATAACTCACCACGCAAAATAGGACAGATCAAAGGCCGAGGATTGATCAGTAGCGAATCGTTTCGTTTGGCCATCATGGGTAAACGTGATCTCTCCTCCTACGTGCTCTGATGGCAAGCAGAACACAACGATCGCAATCGAGTTATCCGACTGGGAAGGGCTGCTGTCCATCAGCATTTTGTTGGTGAGCCTTCCTTAATGGTGTACATACTACTCTATCGAGGACTCTGTGCTACATGAAAGTAATGTTGCTTTGCAGTCGCCTGGCCGCAGTTCCATAGTCCTGAAAACCTTTGTGCATATTGCCGACCGGAAAGCTTCCCAGGATGGGTTCTGAAAACTGAATGTATTCCAAGCATTCTCACAGTTCTTCAGAATCGTTTTCAGTCCAGTGACAGACTCAGATATCCCTTGGCTTCGAAAATCTTCGTCGTCCAGGGGTAGTCGAATCTTTCCAACACCTAGCACGTGCAGGCTAGGATTGACAGGATCAAATGCTGTTCCGAAGACAGCGAATTCCCTAGCATGATTGATTGCATCAAGGGCTACGCATAGTTCACTGCGCACGTTCGCACCGTAATCAAGGAGTTCAAGGCTTTCGTCGTCCGACTCATCCTCTGAGGTGTGTTCCTGGCCCATCAGATGGGTCCGTTCATGCTCTGGGGAGATAAAGTATACTTTTGGCGAAGCTGTCATGATATTGGCTGAAAGCGCTTGTCGGCTTTCCGCAGTCCAAGCTATCCTCAGTTTCTTCCGCGTAGATGACGTAGAGTATCCTTGTGAACGCGATTGAAATAGAGTAGAATATTCTATTCGAATATTCTAGGGCATAGGATGACAGCGCATTGATGGGACATAAGAAGAGTTGCAATGGGAGTAGGAGGTATGAGCGGATGAGACACCGTTCGGAAATCAAGCAGGCGGAACAAGTTCGCGCATCCCTGACGCGAAACAAACACGCTAACATGTGGAGGTATCGATCACAACCTCCACATAAAACTGCTTCGTCAACTTCTCTCAGTCCGAAGTTGCCCGTCGCAGACGACGACTCAAGATCTCGCAAATAGTACGAACCAATGCTAATGCCTGTCGGAATGTCCGAGAGCCTGTTGATGGTAGTTGGGTGTGAAGTCCCCAAAAACACCGTGACTGGTTTCGAAAGGGGCATAGCGCTCCTGGCTTTCGAATTCTAAGCGAACTTCAGCCGACGACAACTCATAGAGCCCGACGACAACTCATACGACAACTCATCATCATCAATACTTCTCGTCGTCAATCATCGAAACACTTGTCAACTGATAGGGTTTTTACTTCTTAATGACGTTTCAGATCTGATAATGATGCTAGTCACTGGGAAGCGCTCCGCCCCGCATCCGAGGACGTACAAGCTTCTATTCACGCTAAGCTTACCAGATATACAGACTCGATTACCAGCTGGAGGATGGCACGTATTGATGCAACAACAAGGTTGTGTATTCTATAGATATTTCGGACTCTGTGTGCATGGCACGTTGAAATGGTGTCAATATCACGAGGCGACGGTCTCCTCCCTTTTTCTATGTAGGTAGTTCAGGGCTTTAGGCCTCGAGTGTTCCAATTTTATAGCTGTATGTTCCCAAAGTATATCACATGATCACGCTCGTGTAATATTTTAAAGTAAAATTTGAAGTATATATGTTCGCAAGGCTTGTCTGTGCTGCCTACATAAGACCCGCTTCCTTTTCGTTTTCATTATGTTTGCTCAACTGTATCCAAATTTCTTTACATCAAGCGCTCTCGTATCTTCTCCATCATCAGTCACTTCGATATTCATCATTATGAAAGAAACTTTTCAAGTTCCTAGGCATTCCGGTCACCGCTTTTTGCACATGGCTACTATCGGTTGCATTTCACACTCATACACCGCCATCTGCCCCGTGATCCTATCAACCTATCTCAGCTGTGGCGAACACTGGCGGACTAATTCCGTAAGAGACCTTTCGGACGGCGGAAGCTGGGATTCACCGAAGCGTTCAGCCTGTTCTGCGCCATTCTTGTTACTCCTCCAACAATCTTTCTCTCCAACACTAAACTCACACTGTCCACCATAGCAGCCACCCTCATCTTGAAATCCTAATAGCACTTGGCGTCACCCTTGGAACATCTCACTGCGCGCGAGCTCCTTGTAGCTCGGCTTTCGGGTACTAACTAAGAATCGTGTAATCATGCTGGGACCGTCCATAGCGAAATCGCAGAATGCGATGCCTCGTCCCGGCCAGGCCCATCATGGTAACCAGCGGGCGCCTCGTTCGGGGATGGCTTATCATGGCAGTCAGCATGATGTAAGTCAAACTGCGTTTTGTTTGATGGACTATACTAATACATTCAGAATCACCGCCACACCTATACTCACGATTACGGCTACGCCCAGAGCGACCAGGACGATAGTCAAAACAGAGACTATGGGAATGCTCAGTACGACGAGCAGCTGGGGAATGCTCAGTACGACGAGCAGCTGGGGAATGCTCAGTACGACGAGCAGCTGGGCAATGCCACCCACGGCGATGACTATCACGGCGAAGACTACCAGGGTGATGACGACCAGGGTGATGACCTCCAGGGCGACGACTTTCAGGGCGATGACCTCCAGGGCGGTGATCAATACAGCAACGACGAAACTGTTCCGTACTACGAGCAGGGCGGTGGCCGCCAGCGCCATGGGCAGCACGCCAACTATCAGTCTCGCGACTACACTAAAGAACCTTGTTCAGCAAGCCGCTACTACTATGAGCCCCGCCCTCGTGGGTCTCAGGCTGATCGTCAACCTCGGCGACAAGGTCGACATTTGATTGAAGAGCAACATTCTGATGAAGATGAGGTGGACGACCAATACACAGGCGAAGCGCCTTATGAAAAAGACCACTCTCACCCTCTGATGTTTCAACTACGTGGTCCTCAATACTACTCACCAACCCAGTCCAGTTCTCACCTTCTTCCCAGCCATCCTCAAGCACATCGGGACTCTCGAAGCGAATGTCGGGGATCTCTCTATAAGGAAAACACTGATACGTCTCACGTACAACAAGGCCCGCCTACCAGCCGTCGCAAAGCACGTCGAGAGCCTCAAAATGATCGTCAGGGTTTCATTTATGGTGATCATTCTAGTATGTTTCGTGTACGGCAAGGCCTGCCCGCCAGCCGTCTAAGAGAACCGCGAGAATCTCGAGACTATCATCAGGAATTATTCGATACGGAAGACCCTGATATTTCTCACGTACAACAAGACCCGCCCACCGGCCGTGTTAGAACACCTCGGGAACCTCAAAACGATCGCCGAGGATCTAATTACGGGGAAGGCCTTGGTACACCTCACGTACAAGACGCGTCCAGCCATCGTATTCGTAGAGCACCTCGGGAATCTCAAAACGATCGTAGGGAATTATCCTATGCGCAAGACCCGAGTATGTCTCTCGCACAACAAGGCCATCCCACCAGTCGTGCTTCGTCTCGTCAAAAGGTCAACATCGGTCACCAAGTTCCCTTCACGTCAAACTCACATCCCGCATCAAAGTCCCGGCGCAGCTCCACACTTGGCACTGGTCTGGGTAGCTCCACGCGAACTACTGCCCAGGGTAGTACAAAGCGTACGGCAGATTATATGGACCCCTCCCATCAGACCCATACTCCTAAATATGCTCGTGGTGAGGCAGAGTCTCCTCGCTTAGCGAATACCAAAGGGAATGTGAATGGCAGGGCTTCCTTCAAGCCGCAAGACCCGATCGAAATCTCTGATGGCGAGACGGACATCTCTGATGACGATGAGTACGAAATGATTCGTCAAAATCCTCACGCGTCTGGGCGTGCTGGCTCCGGTGAAAATCTGAATAGGAACAATAGGCAATTCAGCACACGGACCAGCCTGAATTGGGACAGGCAAACGGAAGAACGAGAAGAAGAATTTCCATCCGCTTCTTGGGACACTCGTCATACACCTCTCCCTTCATCTTCAAAATCTTCAGCTTTCCAACATCCATCTCACGTTCCATCGTCGCGCGCCTTAGACCGAAAGTCGCAAGCGCATCGACCTCTTCCCCCGTCCCAACTCGGTCAACTTGTGTCTCGCGCAGCCCAGACAACTCGACGCAGTATGGCTGGAAACAGAAACGATGGCAATGTGCCAACGAAGCGGGCCCGTCCTGAGAGCCCGTTCAGCTCCCAAGGATATCCAGATATTCGCTCCCGCTCGAAGTATACGAGTCCTGAGACGAAACGACCTCGCATCGATGAGGCTTCTTCACAACAGCATAAGTCGCATGGCACGCAGCCGTTTTCGCAAGGCGATACCGACGGCGAAGAAGATTATTCTCTTGAGGAACATGGTTCCACCGCGACTAGCGCAAAGGCCGCTCGTGATAGTCTCGAGCTTGGCCCGGATTACATGGACGTGGACAGCGACCTCGGGTCTGCTCAAAATCAGGTACATGACTTCCCCATCGTCAATTCGGGTGGTTCTGCCACCAGCAAGGCTCTCCGAGAGAGAGCCCGCGCCTTGAAGGAGTCCGGATCTGACCAGAAGTCGCAGCAGCAGATGAAGTACGCCTATGGCCTCGGTGCAGAGCACGGGTCGCAGCTGCAAGACCATAACGAGGAATCGTATTACGCCAATCTATCTCAGCAAGTGCCTCGCTCTCAGCAGTCCAGCACTATCCCAAAGGCCTCGAAGAATCCTTCCAACAATTCGCCCTTGGGACCCTCTCGACCTTCTGGAAATTCGAACGCACCGAAGGGCGCTGGACTCAATCACAAGCTGCTGAAAGACAAGCGCACTCGCCAGAGTCTTCAGCAACCGGCGGAACGACGCAATTCCCTTGATGGCTCAAGTCTTGCTGGAAAGCCCCCCGAGTCTACCGGAAAAAATGCATCTGTTCTTGGAGCCAAGTCTGGCGCACGAGCTCTCGATATGTCCACCTCAGAATCCACACCTCAAAGCGCGAAACAACAGACTAGCAACAGCAAGGAAGCTCCCAAAGGCCCTGCGAAGACTGTTACCAAGGTAGATGAGCGAAAGAAGCCAGTCAAACAGGCATCCAAGGCTGCCGAAGCTGCTTCATCCAAGTCACAGTTCACCGAGGTCGACCAGAACAAACGTAAGACCGTTCAGCCACCCAAGGCACGTACAGGAAGTTCTGAGACTCAGGTCCAGAAAAAGGCTCCACAGCCCAAGGTCGCGAATGTCCCTTCGCTTGGCGATATCATGGCTATGATTGGCACCGACGACAATACCCCGGCCAAACAAGCTCCCTCCCGCTCTGCAGTGCCATCTGCGCAGGTTTCTAGTCGTCAAGGCTCCAACGCCCCGGCAAACCCTGTCAAGAAGGACACCAGCGGTAGCGGATTGCGAGGAATCCAGGAGCCGGTACCTAAGGACAACACCAACAGCTCGTTCAAATACCAGAATGAGTACCGACCGCCATCTCAACGCTCTTCTGCATCTCCCGCCCAGCCGCACAATGCGCCTCCATGGAATGCGCCAACTGGCCCGAAGAACGCTGCGAAGCCATCATGGGGCAATCACGGCCTTACGTCTGCCGATGTCAAGAAAGTTGCTGATGAGAAGCGCCGTGCAGATCAGCACTCCCAAGCTCAGAATGCAGGCCAAACCGTCTCACCAAAGAAGACTAATGAGACGGTGCTCGAGAACCAAGCTACTAGAGAAGTTGAGGCGCAGCGCAAAGAGGTCACGGCTTCGATTGAGCTCGACAGTGGAATCCAGAAGCATGAACATGCGAAAGCTGTTGAGCGTGAAGACCGTCAACCAGACATACCCGATATGATGGAAGGGATCGAAGACGCCAGTGAACGGTCCACGTTACCGTCGCAACGTGG